TAGGAACCCTAGAGAGCACTTTGAAAAATAACACATTCTTATAATTTCACCCTCAGATGAGCCAAGCTACGACTGTCAGGGAAGGTGATGTAGGTACAGAGCATGTGAGAGTGGTTAAGTTAATGTCTCTTGTCTAGATGAAGGCACAAGTGGGATCAATGGCAAGGTGTAGAGATTCAGTATCTTCAGTCTTCAGTGGACACTCCATTTCTGGCGCAGAACACCTGTAAAAGATGGTCGGGTCACCTCCTAAATCGACAACTTCAGCCTGTCAAACATAGTAATGGAGCAGTATGTTTTTAAAAAAAAAATCTAATTAAGCATGCACTCAGCACCCTAAGAATTATTATGGTAGTTAAACACAGTGATAGTCACATATCATATCACTTCAAACAGAGATGATCCAGTAATGCTGCACTAACGAATTAGACTAACTATTCACTTTAGCTAAAGTTATTAAGCTAGCTAAAGACTTGGGATGCTGTGTAAGACATAAATAAAGCTAAAACACAAAGGTTTGGACACCGTTTTGCATGTTTCCCTACTGTAGGGGTCTTTGGAAGCATACAGGGCTCTGAGAGGGTGACAACTTTGGAATTCTACTAGAAACAGTCGATCATATTTGTTTGTCAAAGCTGAATCCAGGGCAAACTACGCTAAATTAGCGTTTTTAGCTAACAGCTACAATAAGCATAAAAGTTACTGTACGGCTATCATTTGTTAACATGACGCTTGTTCTTATACGTGTAATACATTTATTACCAACCTGAGAGTTTATCCGCTGGTCATTTGACATGACGAATGACTTCTGAAGTCTTAATTCAGCTCATGATGCTGTAGATTCCCGTCAGTAACACTTTCGGTCCGTTAGTAAAACGTAGCTCTATTAATCTGCGCTCGATTACTCTTGAACCTGAACCGGATGTAAGTCCCAAAAAACTGGATTTTGGAACTGAAATTGAATTGTAGAACTGAAACTGAATGGTGAGAAGTGAATCTGAGATTATTTGAGAACATAAATTTTAATTGATAAAATACAGTTTCAAAACAATTGAATTCATTTTCAAAATATAAAATTCAATTTAAAGTTAGTGATGATCATTTTCAAACCAATAAATTGAATTTCAAATTAGGATAATTCATATTCAGTTTTTAAAAGCATTTATTCAAGTTACAATTCAGATTCAATCCAAGCAATTCAAATTCTAATTTAACTTATTCAAATACAGTTTCTGATGGCACAGATTTCTGCCCATAGGAGTCACTCTGCAGATGCGGCTGAGAAGGTTCAGTTGATTATAATGTAACTTGTTTCCACAGCACACTTGAAATTTTTCATATGCTTATACTTACAAGTACTTATATTATAAAAAACAGTGATAGAGGGACTTGAAAATGGATACAGTTTTATCTTTATAATAATTTTGTTTACAAGTTCCTGTTGTAATGAAATACTTTTATTTAAGTATTAGAGACGTCATAGAACCATGAGGCACTTTGTCATTTTGATCTGAGGGATGACGTGAGCAGCAGCAGAGAAGCTGTAGCAGTAGTTACTTTCAGCAACCACAATCTGCTGTATCTTGTCTGTACACAGACGTTTGTGTTAATTTTACCTCATGAATCACATCCAATTTTTATACAGTGGAATTAAAAGAAAAAAGAATCAGTCATTGCAATTTGTGTTCTATTGTCCTAGTTGTCCAATACTAGGCAGATTAGAATTAATTAATTATATTATATGAGCTGCTGTAAGATCTAGCTTTTTTCATTTGAGGGAATTAGCCAAAATAAAGCCTATCTTATCGAAACAGCATTTTGAGACAGTAATCCATGCCTTTGTTACTTCTAGGCTGGATTATTGTAACGCACTTTATTTTGGGGTTAGTGATGCGTCCATTAGGCGCCTGCAGGTTGTGCAAAATGCTGCAGCACGTCTTTTAACTGGAACAAAAAAGTTTGAGCACATTATCCCAATTTTAATTTCACTCCACTGGCTACCTGTACATTTTAGGATTGTTTTTAAAATTCTCTTATTTGCTTTTAAATCTCTTAATGGCCTGGCCCCCCCTACCCTACCTCTCGGAGCTACTACAACCATATACACCTCCCCGTTCCCTTAGGTCCGCCAATCAGCAGCTCCTTAAGGTACCAAAAACGAAGTATAAATCTAAAGGTGATCGTGCTTTTGCTGTAGTTGCTCCAAAGTTGTGGAATGATCTACCCTTGCATGTTAGGCAGGCCTCTTCTCTCTCTGAATTTAAAAGTCTTCTTAAAACATATTTATTCGCTGAAGCCTTTGGCATTGATTAGAGGGGTTGACTCAATTTGTTTTGACATGTTTTAATTTATTTTAGTTTTTTAGTTATTTATTTTATCTTATCTCATTTTAATTTGCTTTTAGCATGTACAGCACTTTGTGAACTCTGGTTTTATGTTAAAGTGCTTTATAAATAAAGGTGGTATGGTATGGTATGGTATATTATGACATTAGAAATTAAAATTCTAATATCAAGCCCACAATGTGAAAAAAAAATTCTGCTGCTGTTAACAGCAGGATGCCAATTTTCTGTAACTGGGGAAAAAGGAAAGGAGCGAAGGGATGGAGGTGTGCATATTTCAGGGAAGATGTGGTGAAAGTAAAACACTGATTTTGATCGAGTTCAAAATCACCAACACTGTCTAATTTTTGCACTGAATCCAACTCAGCCTACATTTCACTCAGAGCTGAAAGTTTTCACATTCCTCACTCTGTATGGAATTTCCTCTCCTGTTCCTTCATTGTACCCCTTAGAGGGTAATTAATTAATTAGTAAGTATGTCATGAGTCATCACGTTGGGATGTATTATTGTGTGTATTGTAGCGTAGTGTAGGGTCTGCCTTACAACATAAAGCACCTTAAGGTGACTGCTGTTGTGATTTGGCACTGTATAAATAAAACTGGTTTGAACTGAACTGACGTATAGTTGCACTTCTAAGAAGCTATATAATGTGGTTGAATTACTGGAGTCTTCTTACGGTAGAGATATTATATACTGTTTCTATGAATATGTAAAACTGAAGAATAAAGTACATCAGAAAAAGTGATAGTCCTGCTTCTAGTAAAAACAGTCTCTTTTTCCATTCAAGAAACTGCCCTTAGATGCTTAACTAATAATCTTAATTATTTCATATTTGTCTAAAACAACATTAATATGAAAAAATGCATAAAATATCCCAACAATTGTTGTAATAATTTTTTTTTTTTATATATATGTATTTTGTAACTAACCCTAACCTCCTTCGTGTCAAGCATGTGCATGCTACAAAAATATGGCAACTTTAAATAATTAAGCATTAACTGCAGAAAATAGCAGATGTTTTGGGACATTCACCTAGCTCATATTTGGATTTAATTTTAGCAACCATTCAGTGGCATGACTTACTCTTTTCTCCAGCTTTGCACTTAGGTAATGCTAATGCCAATATATAATATAATATACAGCACAACTGTATTGGCTTTACATAAAATATTCAAAAGACTAATGTAGTTATTTTTCATAATGTTGTTTTCATTATGTATGTATGATGATCATTTTTACGCAGGAATTTGTCATAACTTTGAATAAACCCTAACTCATTCGTGGCACACTTAAATACAATCAAAGGGTTTAGTTTTTTGGACAGATGTTGTATGCAGTTTGTTTTGAAAAAGTTTTTTGTCTTTTGAATATTTATAATTTCCCATGAATAAAAAAAAGTATTTCTTATCCAACTACTCAATTAATCAAAGGAATAATCGATACTCTATTATTAAAACAATCATCCCTAGTTACAAGTATTTAGGTCAAGTTTGTTTATTATAGCACATTTCCAAACAGTGCTTAACACTGTAAAATGCCACTAAAATAAATAAAATGCACAACAATGATGCAGTAAAATATAGAAAAACAAATAAATACAATATGTCAATAAAAACAACTAAAACAACAACAACAACTAAGGCTATTAAAGTCAATGTGTGTTAAAATCCAGACCACAAAAATGTCTCTTTATTAACGATTTGAAATGTTTGAGCGTTTGTGCAGATCTAATATCAGGAGGAAGACTATTCCAGGCTCTGTCACCACAACGAGTTTAGACTGTGGAACAGTTAAAGGTTGGTTAAAACATATTCTTGGATTGCTGTAGAAAGTGCTTGAAAGGTCCAGGTCAAAACTAAGCCTAAAAATGGTTGTGTGGCTCTGGGGAGAGCGGCCAAAGTGCACAACTGGGAACCTGACAAAGAGTGAGTGTGTGGGGTCAAGGGGTTAATCTGGCTCTCGTTTAATTCTTATCTTTTAAATTCACTGATGGATAAAAAAAAATCCCCTCAAACTGCCTGCTGGATCTTTTAATCTGGTAGATTTAATCTCGTGTACCTTGGACAGCACTAGCACAGAGAAAGGATGAGCAAGAGCATAATACAGTAGAACACAATGTATGTATAGAGGAGTCACCAGTTACACCAATACAAAACATACTCTGATATATTTGTGTTTAATTCATTTATATTGTGATAATTATTGCCAGCTTTTTTGAATCAGTCAGCCCCTAACACTTCTAGAGTAAGCTTGTTCACTTCCTGTTTAATAACATCAGGTGTACACCTCTAATAAAACATCTGAAGATCCAGCGGCATCACGCTCTGTTACAGGCACAAATTAGACTGCTCGTATTATTTTCAAACACTGTTTAAAAAAGCTCTTTCTCTCTGAAGGTCTGACACTTTTTATTAGTTTCTTTTAATTTTATAAGTCCAAAGCAAGTCTTTCAGAAATATAGAATGAAATGTGAAGACGGATAAAACACAGATCATAAAAAACAGATTGGGTGTAAAGATGTCTAAATCAAACCTTGACCTTTACACAAGACTTACACTAGACCTCTTTATGAAAGCTGTCATTATTGTTTCAATATAAAAGTGTTTTTTACTTGGAGAAAGTAAAACCCAACAGAAGCTTTTCAGTGATCTATTCTTTATGCGCATGGTGCCTGAAAAAGCTCATTTTGTCTGCTAACAAACAAATTCTTTATGGTTGTAGTGGTAGCTCACAGGTGTTAGAATTTGCTGAAAAACGATGCCCACGTTCAGCAACATGTTGGCCAGATAAAAGAAGATGGGGAAAAAATAAAGAGGAAGAAAGGAAGAGCCTGTGTCCTTACTACATGAGAGGCTTGCGGCAAAGCACCAGGGCATCATAGAGCAAGCACACTCCAAACACGGTGATGCCTGTCTCTTTCACCAGCATGGCGCAGGTGCCCAGCAGCAAACTGAGGAAGAGCGAAGATGACGACACCGTGAAGGCCAGCGAGTCCTCAGAGACACGCCCACTCACACTCCTGAGAGAGGAGACGAGACAAAAGTATGAGAGAACAAAACAGCTCGGCTTTTGTAAAGTCACTAGCTTCAGGACAGCTTCTGTTCGTTAAATGTGACGTGGCAGTCATGTTGCAGCAAGTCTAACACAACGACAGAAATCACTTGTTACATTAGCTAAATTTAGATGTTTTTTATGGCTGTAATTAAGAACTGTCAGACCTGCGTGTTCATAAGCTTTTATATGTTCAGCTGATCTCCTGAACATATAAATTATACACTAATAGGCTGTAACACTTCCTGTATGTAAATGAGACTAAACATGATGTTTTTATGAACAATTTTCCATCCATCCCGTAACAAATCTAACTATGGTAACAGTAAAAGTACTCTGTAAAATCTTATGTGCTTTGAGATTCTGTTCACTTTTTAAACACCAAGCTGTAATCATAAACCTCACAAAGTCATATGCATTACACGACTGAACATGAGTAACAAAACCGTTTAACATTTTCACTCACTTGTTAAAAATAATTCAGTATTACAACCACCCGTTTGTAGGAGCTTTCCAAGTTTATTCTATTCACTCGATCTGCATCAGTCTCTCAGGCAGGCCAATCTAATTTACAGTTGCAAATGTGCATAGAGAGGTTGAGGATGGTGTTGTCTTACAATAATCTAATATCTTACCTAATATAGGAGAGGAATGTCAGCAAAAACAGCAGACAGGCCAACACATCAGCTCTACCCACGATACCAGACACCTGCGAAACAGACGTGCACAGATTTGAGAGATTACGGATGTGCCAGAATGCTCCATTGAGGACACACTGCTGGATGTCTATGTGCAGCCCATTACTGTTGCTATGCTACAGTGAGCTGCACATCACTGTCTCAGTAGAACCAGCCTCTGTACTTTCCTTTCAAACCTTGAGAGCGATACGCAGTGTGACCATGGCTCATGGTTACTGGTGCCAAGAATAAGTATTAAGGCTTTTCTATAATGTCTGATCACACACGTGTGTCCGTTGGGCAAGCATGATTTGTGCATAAACAATTCTCCCCAGAACTTTACTTAGACTAACAGGTCTGCTACTGACACCATTAAAAACAGCATTCTTATTTTTTGGAATTGGAATACTTTCCGATTCATTCCACTGCGATGGAAATAAGCTGCATGCCAAACATCTATGTGATGTATAGGAAGGGACACAAACTTGGCTGCAGCTTTGAGCAGTTTACTGTCTATGTTATCAGAACCTGAAGATGTATCATCAGGTAGTGATATTAATAAACGCTCCATCGTCTCAACATTCACTGCCTCAAACTTAAATTGGCATTGCTTATTATCCATGATAGCATGATAGGATGGGATCTCCTCTACTCATTTTAAATTTGTTATTTTATTGCTGTAGTAAATCTTGAAATATATCCTTAGCTTTACTTATAAACATTCCATCTGTGCTGATGTGTGGCACCACCAGAGCATCTGCCCATTATATTGGTTAAAACTTTCCACATCTTCTTGCTGTCCTTATTGGCCTCCTTGAGCTCATGCTGATAATATAAATTCTTCTTATTAAAATATTTGTCTGTGTTAAAGTTTATGTATGATCTACGAAAAACAATCTCTCGTGCAGTTTTCAGTGGTTTCATTTTCTTGGTCAAGCCTACAAGATTATGGTCACTATAACTAACTGGAACAGAGACAATGTTTAAGCATTGTTCAGGAACATTTGTATATATATGATCAATACAAGATGATGACCTATGACCTGCCTCTGTTGACCGTCATCCGCGTGGGAATGATTACCATCTGAGACAGACAGCAGTAGATGCTAATGAACTCTTCTTTTTCCTTAAAGGACAAGAAGTAGATGACCAATTAATATTAAAATCTCCAAATAAAAATATGTCCTTGTCTTCCATCTTTCCAACATTTCACAGATTCGTTCTACATACAACGTATTGCTACTAGGGCGTCTGTAGCAGCAACCTACCAATAACAGCGTGCCATGGAGCGGGTGTAACTGAACCCACACGATTTCCAGATCGTCAAACATTAAGTTCATACGTAGTTTGCTTGCCACATTGTCATTAATATATATAAGGCAACACCCCCTCCAAATCTGTTTAAGTCTTTCCTATACAACTTATAACCATTCATTTCAAATTCATTATTCTCAAAGGCAGCACCTAAATGTGTCTCAGAAATGAGTTTGTTGACAGCAATGACTGAATTTCCTGAAACTTATATTTAAGGCTACAAATACTACCATGAGCTACTGAAAAATATTTTGCGGAGAATCCGGGAATAAACTGATCAACCATAACGGCTAGAAATCAGAATCAGCATTCTGATTCTGATTTCTAGCCGTTAAATGGCAATATTACTGAAAGTGTAAGTGTTAAATCCAGCATTCCGGGACCTCGGTTTAACAATAAATTTATCATGTTTCAGGACGGCAATATCACCTCTGTCTCTGGCCACTCTCAGCTGTAGTAATAGTTCTTTCCTCTTCTTCCTGATCTTTGTAACCTGACCACAATCTGCCTGGCTCAGCCATACGTGACCGCGTTCGATTTGAACGTGTCACTGTCGAGGCCCTGCTGGTTCTTCAGCAAGTGTTGGACTTTATCCTCTAATTCAGGGGTGGCCAACCAGTCAGAGACCAAGAGCCACTTTTTTTTTTACTGTGTTACCGCAAAGAGCCACATCATACACATGGGAACACATGAACATCACCCATCCTCCCTCTCTCTCTCTCACACACACACACACACACACACACACACACACACACACACACCTCTGCTCAGCCAGATTTATTGTAAATGTCACACACCAACATGATAATGACAGAAATGGACTCCTACAGTACTAAAGCCACAGGCCAGTCATTTTCAACAATGAACATTGTGTGCACTGTCTCACACACACAAACTCTCAGTTTAACCAAGTCCACAAACAAAAATATAATAATCTACAATAGCATTTACTTCTACAATGCATGTTGTTTAGTGGGACTTCTGGCATTCCTTGCCTTGAACAATCCTCTTCAAATCTGGCTTGTATTCCGTTGTTGCCACTTCCCTTAAAGCAGGTTTCAATTGGTCCTTTTCACAAAGATCGATCATCTCCAACTCAGCCGCAGCTTCATCTGTGACTAGCGGGACTTTCAAACAGCCGGTCTCTGCATTAAATCGGTCGACGAGGAACGTAATCTGTGGCCTTTTCAATTGTAGATCATGGAACCGGGTCACGAAGCTTTCGTGCAAGTTTTCAATCAGCGTTGCATATCTGGCTCTTTGCTTACTCAGGGCAGCGCTGGCGACTTGCCCGCTAGCTTTTAGCAGTGGGAAAATGCTATAACTCCCTTTTGAATATGTGTCTTGAACAGCTTCAGTTTGTTGACAAATGCAAACACACTTTGCACCAGGTCAGGCAGCATTTTTAACTTACCCTGCAGGGTCAGGTTCAGTCTGTCCAAGTGACACAGCATGTCGACCAAAAAGGCCAGATCCATAATCCACTTGAGGTCAGAGAGCTCGGGATAGTCCTTCTCTTCCATAAACAGTTTCACGGCATCCAAAAGCTCAAAGAAGCGAGAGAGTACCTGGCCTTTTGACAGCCACCTCACAGTGCAGTGCAGCAGCAGATCACCTGGAAGCCCTTGGTCCAGCTCAGCAATGAGATTCTTGAATTGCCTGTGGCTAAGCGCATGTGTGCGGATATAGTTGACGATTTCCATCACAGGCTTCGTGACGTTATCTAAATTCAATGATTTAGACACGAGTTGCTCCATGTGGATGATGCAGTGGATGATCCAAAAGTCAGGAATAGTTTGGTCAGCTTTGCACAGCCCCACAAGCCCGTTCACAGATCCCATCGTGGCTGGTGCTCCATCCGTGACTATTGCAGTTAATTTCGTTATGGGCAGATTTGCTTTTTCAAATGCAGCCATCATGGTTTGTTCACATCTATGCCACGGGTTCTGTCTTTTAATGGCACAATATCCAGGAGTTCTTCTTTGATCACACAATCGTTTGACACAGACCGTGCAAATATTGCCAACTGAGGCTTGTCTTCTATATCACAACTCTCATCCAAAGCGACACTAAAATACTCACATGCTTGAAGGTCAGAGTGCAACTGTGATTCAATAGCCGTGTTAATGTCCGATATTCTGTGTTCAACAGTGTGGCGGGACAGTTGGACGTCTGATACCACGCGTTTTAATTTGTTGTTTTCAGGAGACAAGATTTCAACAAGGTCACTGAGGCATTTTTTAACGAACTCCCCTTCATTGTATGGCTTTTTAGCCCGTGCAATGTTCCAAGCCAGCTGATAGGATGCGAACGTTATGGTCTCTGACCGCTTCGTAAATTTTTGGAAAAACTGTATCTGCTTTTCTGCCTGACTTTTCAAAGTGTGCTTGTGAAGTTCAGTCCCTTTTGGAAATTCCTGGTCGATGTTAGCATGGAGTGAGCTGAAGTGGCGCTGAAGATTTGAAGCTTTGAAATGCACTAATGACGTCTGACATATAAGGCAGAATGGCTTGCCATTGCGTTCAACAAAAAAATATAAACTCTCCCACTCTGTTAAAAACGTCCTGTGTTCATCTTCATATTTTCTTTT